TTTTTTTTTTTTTTTTTTTTTTTTTTTTTTTTTTTTTTTGGCTTTTCAAGACAGGATTTCTCTGTGTAGGTAGCCTTGGCTGTCCTGGACTCACTTTGTAGACCAGGCCGGCCTTGAGCTTTCAGAGATCCACCTGCCTCTGCCTTCTGAGTGCTGGGATTACAGGCCTGGCTTTTCTTCCTCTTCTTGAGACAAGGTCTTTTTCTGTGGCTCTGGCTGTCTTGGAACCCTAACTCTCTATCTAAGCCAGGCTGGCCCCCACTTCAGAGATCCACATACCTCTGTCTCCTAAAGGTGTGTAAAAGGACTGATTTTGAGCATGGCACCTTTAATTCTAGTGCTCAGGAGGCAGAAGCAGGCAGATCTCTGTGAATTCAAGGCCAGTCTGGTCTACAGAGTGAATTCCAAGACAGCCAAGGCTACAGAGAAAAAAAAAAAAATCTAACAAACTTCTGCCCATTTTGCAGATGGAGAAACTGCTAGTTGGTAACACTGACTGTAGCTCAGTTGGTAGAGCACATGCCTAGCATGGTTCCCAGGACCACATAAACACAAGCCAGGTGTGGTGTCACATGCCCATAGCTGCCACACTTTGGGGTTGAGGGCAGGATTGTTACAAGTTCAAGGTCAGCCGGGCTCAGTGGTGCACACCTTTAATACCAGCGCTAGGAAGGCAGAAGCAGGCAGATGTCTGAGTTCAGGTCCAGCCTGGTCTACAGGGAGAGTCTAGGACAGCCAGAGCTACACAGAGAAACCCTGTCTCGAAAAACCAAAAAGATAGAAAGAAAACAAAACACCGGGAAGGTCCACAACACACTAGCAAAGGAAGCAAGTAATCAAAATTATAAGATCGTATGAAAGACCTGGGGCTAAAGAAATGGCTCAGCAGTTCCCGCACACTTTCATTATCCACAAGGAGATTCTCCATCGCCTGTAACTTCAGGGGCTTTGTCGCCCTCTGCTGGCCACCATGGATTCCTGCACGTGCATTGGCACACACAAACTCACACACATAAATAAAAGAGTAAATAAATATTTTTAAAGATCACGTAAGTTTTCCAACATTGTATTTCCTCAAAATAATTTTTTACATTTTACAGATACATAGGTGTATACACATATGATATGGCCCATGCTTTTTAATCTTAGGATACAGGAAGCAAAGGCAGTTTTGAGCTCTGTGAGTTTGAGGCCAGCCTGGTCTACATAGAGACCTTGTCTCAAAAATAAATAATCAACAAAAAATTATTTGGTCCTGGTGGCACACACCTATAATCCCAGCACTCAGGAGGCAGAGGCAGGAGGACTGTTGTGAGTTCAAGGCCAGCAAAGGCTATACAGTAAGACCTTGCCTCAAAGGAAACCAAAAAGTCTAGCATATTGTGCATAATGAGGGTAGTAGAGCCCAAATTAGCTAAGATTACGAGGGCTCCACAGTAGGTACACATATATGAATTTATGAGGGTCATTGAACATGATGGTAGACAGGTCAGATTCAAGAGGTCATATTCCAGAATGGTAGTTTTTATTACAAGATTTGCCCTAAGGGCACTGCTATCCTACTCCTGACACTCTAGCCACACCCACATTCATCAACAACCATGTCTTCATAATGTCGGAGAACGACGTTCTCATCATTATCTTGATAGAGCATGGAAATGGGAGACAGCTTGGTAGGGATACAGACAGCCTTGGGGACGCCGGGGTCAACTGCATGCATCAGTGCCTGCATGAAAGCATAATTGGAACTATTCAAATATGTGGTCATTGAGAAGGGACAATCTCCATGACAGTAATTTGCCATGAAGCCCTTAGGGGCAATGACCCACTTGTGCCAACCCAGGTCCCGGAAGTTGATGAACAGCTGATGACGATGGCAGAGAGTCCTACAGGAACCCTTGGGGACGGGGATCGCTGCCCTTCTTTTCCTGGGAGAAGGGTGACAGTGCTCAGGGTTGAGGGTCACCACCAGCAGGGAGGCGTGAAGGAAACGTATCAGCCGGCCGCAGGGGTTCTCAGGCTGGACATTCACCCCAGAGTATCTCTCCTCTTTGGCCAGAATCTCTAAGTACAAGCCCAGGTTCTTCAGCCTGTTGCTGTCCCAATTCTTCACCACGTGCTGCAGGTTGAAATGAAGAGGACCTTGAGGCCCCCAGATGGACTGCTGAGCAAGCAATCTGTTGGGGTTAGGGTGGGATTCCCCACACATACCCGGCTCCTCAACCACAGACAGAGCTACCACGAGTTCTGGTCCCAGATTGTAGTAAGACCTGGGCCCCAAGTCCAGAGTCAGCTGGGCCATGGTCAACTTTCCCTTTCCTTCGATGGCAGACAAGTTAAAGTAGAGGACCTTCTGCAGGCAGGAGCCATCCTGGGAAGGTCTCTGTGCGTTAAGGAAAAAACCTAGAAGCAAAAAGAGACGTGTGAGTCACTATAATAATTTTTACTTCAGACCCACTTGTTTGTGAATCTGAGTTCTAGTCAAACCCTCCCTTTTGGGAGGGGTTTCCCCAGTCCCCATTCAAATCTGTTATCATGTGTGCCAGTGTCATATCTCAGGAGCTGTCCACCTGTGTGTGCTTTACATAAAACAACCTGGGGTTCACCAATTTGGCTAGGCTGGCTGGCCAGTGAGCCTCGGGGACCTGCCTGTCTGTGCCCCAGAATGCTGGGATGACAGGGGACCATGTGGTACCTGGCTGCTTTATGCTCATAAATAAGGTACTTAAGGCCCAACCCCAACGTTTTTGGCTTATTTGTTTGTTTTAAAGACAAGGTCTCTTGTAATCAAGGCTGGCCTTGAATTCATTATATAGCCAAGGATGGCTTTAAACTTCTGATCCTCCTGCCTCTTACTTTCAGGTTCTGCGATTGCAGATGTATTCCTACACAACTGGCTCACACTACGCGCCACCGTGCCCAGCATTTGTTTGTTTGTTTGTTTACAATGTCCCCCTGACTAGCCTGGAACTCTAAAAAGAGCCAACCAGACTACAGTGATTAAAGGTAAATGCCGCCTCACCTGGTCTTAGTCTCACTAATTTTTTTTAATGTGCCTGTGCCCTGAATTTGAGCAGGCGCCTGCAGGGGTTGACGAGTCAGAGCCCCTGGAACTGGAGTTCCTACAGACAGACAATCCTGAGCTGCCTTATGTGGGCCCTGAGAACTGGAAACGTGTAGTCATGAGCGTCTCTCCAGACTCCTCATTCTCACTGTTATTTTTTCTTAAAAAAAAAAAGTGTGTATGGGTATTTGGCCTTCATGTACGTCTGTGCGTCACATGCATCAGTGCCCAAGAGGTCAGACCAGGTCTTCGGATCGAAGTTGTGAGCCGTTTTAGGTGGGTGCTGGGAATTGACCCCGAGTCTTCTGGAAGAGCAGTGAATGCTCATGACTGCTGAGCCACGAAGCTCCTCTCTGGGCTTTAATAGGACCATCATCTTCACTCTAACACTCGTGGTTTAGGATTTCCACGGACTGTTCTGTTTCCGTCTGAAGTTCTCCTTCCCATCTCCAGCTCCCCTCAATGTCCCCACAGCCCGCCCCTACTTCCGGTCCCCACTTCTGCCCCCACTTCCCTTCCCCAAGCCCTGCCCCATGACTTTGAGAACCCTTTCATAACAAACTTCATAGTTGGAAGTTCTATTTCAGCTTCCTCTTCAAACCAACCTTGCAGTTTTGCTTCTTTTTAACTAATTCCCTTCTAAAATCTCTCTCTGTGTCTGTCTGTCTCTGTCTCTCTCTGGTTTTTTGAGACAGGGTTTCTCTGTCTAGCCCTGCCTGTAGACCAGGCTGGCTTCAAACTCGGAGATCCACCTGTAGGGCCGGGACTATAGTCCTGGGCTGCCACCACCGTCAGGCTGAAACTGGTAAACAGGGTAGTCTTTTGATCATATCTGCCTTCTCCAGGCCACACCCAGTCCAGCTCACAGTAGGTATCCAATAAATGCTTCAGGGACAAATGCACGGACAAACCTCTTCATCTGCAGTAAACTCTAACTGTATCCTTGGTTGTCAGTGGTGGTTCATGTCTACAGTCGGCACCTGGGAGGCTGAAGGAGAATTCCTGAAGTTTTCGGCCATCCTGGACTACATAGTGAGCTGGAGACCAGTAGAGTGTCTCAAAACAGTAACAAAAGCAACACCCAAACCAAGGGAAAAACAAGTAACTAAAAAGGTTATGCATCTGAATGGCAAGGAGGAGGGGCAGGAATGTGGAGGCCTCAGCCACCATCCCCGATTTTTGAATAAGAATCAAGTAAGGAAAGGAAGGGCAACGTAGGGCTACAAGAATCGACTTTCAAATCAGGTGGCTTGGTAATTTGGTAGGCGAGCAGTTTAAGAAACTACAGGTTGGCAGTAACTAACTCGGGACCTTTATATAAAGGGTGTGATTTGTGGCTTAGATTAATAGCGTTGGTCTGTATTTTAAAAAAGTCAAGTCGTGAGTGGTGGCCCACGCCATTCATCCCAGCACTTGGGAGGCTGAGGCAGGGGGATTTCTTGAACCCAAGGCCATGCTGCTCTACAAATCGAGTTCCAGAACAGCCAGGGCTGCACAGAGGAACCCTGTCTTGAGGATACCGAAAAAACAAACAAAACAATTAATTAAATAAAAATAAACACATGCAGATAAAATCAAGAGACGTGCTGGCCTTTAATCCCGGGCACTCGGTCCTTGAGAGGCAGATCTTGCTAGGGTCTACAGAGCAAGCTCCAGGACCTTGCCTTAATTAATTAGAATCAAGACATGCTTTTTGCATCCAACGAAAAAGGTTACACACCGGGGCTAAAGCTCAGTTCTGCAGCAACCACGTCGGGCAGCTAACAACCTCCTTTGGACTCTTCGGATAGGCATGTACAAGCACATACTAAAAAGAGGGAGACAGTAAGGAGGAGAAGAGAGAAGGGAGGTGGGCGGAGCCGCTGATTTTAAAAGCCCACCCTTGAATTGCGTTCACCCAGGCTGTGATCTTGTCTAGCTCTTGGAATGCCGACAGGACTGTCCAAGCCCATTCTCTGTTGATTGTAAATTAAACTCTGATAAGCCAGCCCAGCGACACTAGCGTGGCGAGGCCCCGGGTGATAAGAACGCAAGCCTTCCTGTGGCTTGATCTTGGAAATGAGGCAGAGTATGCCAGATCCTAGCTCAGACTTTCCTGCCATGAGGTGCCCATCGGTCCCCTCCTCCCTTCTCCACTCGAGATTTTTTTTTTTTTTTTTTTTTTCTCTGACAAACGCTCGGGTTCCTTACCCTGGTCTGGGAGAAGCTGAAGCAGGTTCCCACGGACACGCAGCTCCTTGACATAGCATAAGTCCTGCGAGGCCCCACTGGCCGCCGCAGCTTCTCGAGCCTGGAAGATTTTCCTTAAGACGCGAGGCACAGGTTGGAACCTTTGAGGGGATGGCGCTTTCTCTAAGCCCAGAAACTGCAAAAAGTCATTTTCTTGAAACTTGGATGTCTGGCCGCAGGCCAGGGTTAACAGGAGGAAGCTGAGAGTCGAAAGCCTTTGGGCAGGCTGCATGGCCAACCGAGTCCGGGGTAGTGCGGCCCCTGGGGAGCGCGGCTGCGCGGTCCAGCCTCTGCTGCTCAATTCAGGAACTTAGGAGGTAATCAAGTGTGAATTGGGTGAATTGCTCTCTTCCCAGCTCCTCGGAGACAATTGGATGCGACAAGACTGGTGTTGTGAGGTTGGGTTTTTTTTTTTTCTTTCTTTCTTTCTTTCTTTCTTTCTGTCTGTCTTTCTTTCTTTCTTTCTTTCTTTCTTCCTTCCTTCCTTCCTTCCTTCCTTTCTTTCTTTCTTCCTTCCCTCCTTCTCTTACTCTACTTCTCCTAAGGTCGTAAAATAGTACCTGCGGGCAGGTCAGCAGTGGACAGGGTGAGTGAGAAAGGGTGACACACCCATCCAACACACAGACATCAGTGTGTCTGTAATGTGCAAGGCAATTAAATATCTGCTAAGGGCACAGCGGAGAATGATTTATTATGTACATGACTTGGAGAACGGGGTCTCATGAATCCTAGCTTGACCTTCAACGCTTTTCTCTTTTAACACGACTTTTATTTGTTTATCGTGCACGTGGGTGGGGGCGTGCATGCCACAGCACAGGGGTGGGGCTCAGAGGATAGTTCCCCGCTGGAGTTGGTCCCTCCTTCCATGTGAACCCCCCCTAAAAAAAAATCGAAACAAACAAACTCAGGTGATCAGAGTTAGTGGCAAGCACCTTTATCCACTGAGCCATCTTGCTGGCCCGATTTAGAACTTCTGATCCTATGTGTCACTCCCACGCCCAGGATTAGAGGCATGAGCCCCACAGCTAGCTGAGGAGATGCTTGGTATGGAACCCAGGCCTAGAGCACGCTCAGGAAGCTACAGCCCTAGCCCTATAATCCTCTCTCTCTTCCCCACCCCGTCTTTTCTTCTGTTTTGGTTTTTCGGGATAAGGTTCTCTGTGTAACAGAGCCCTGGCTGTCCTGGACTTGCTTTGTAGACCAAGCTGGTCTGGAGCTCACAGAGGTCCACCTGCCTCTGCCTCCCGAGTGCTGAGATTAAAGGCAGGCACCACCATGCTTGGCTTTCTTTCTTTCTTTCTTTCTTTCTTTCTTTCTTTCTTTCTTTCTTTCTTTCCTTCCTTCCTTCCTTCCTTCCTCTCTCTTTCTTTTCCTTCCTTCCTTCCTTCCTTCCTTCCTTCCTTCCTTCCTTCCTTCCTTCCTCTCTCTCTCTCTTTCTTTCTGATACAGTTTCTTGCAGGATGTAATTACAAACCTATAATCCTAGTACTCAGGAAGCCAAGATAAAATTTTAAAAAAAAAAGTCAGAATATAAAACCAACTTCAGTTATATAGCAAGTTTGAGGCCAGCCTGAGCTACATGGAGACCTGACTCAGCGGAGGTAAGGTTCTAATTCTCTTTCCCAGGGGACCCAAAATCCTGGGTTTAGATATTCCTCCTGCCTCATCCTCACAGAATAACTGTGACTGAGCTATAGTTGTGCTGCTCAGTTCATCATGATTCTCTTACTTGGAGAGACGGTCCAGTGGTTTAAGAGCACTTGCTGCTCTACCAGAGGAGCCACGTTTGGTTTCTAGAAGCCACATCCGGTGGCTCATAACTGTTTGTAACTCCTGCTCTAGCGGATCTGACGACCTCTGGCCTCAGCAAACACCCACACTCATGCGCACATACCCATGTGCAGGCACACAACCTACACATAATTAAAAATAATAAAAATAACTCTTAAAAATACATTTCTATAATTTTATACTTCGTAGTCTAATCACAAAAACACTATTTGACAGTGTAGCTCAGAGGTAGATTCTCAAGGCCCTCAGTTCAATCCCAACACTGCAAAAAAGTTTCTTATTTAAAAAAAAATATGTATTTTTAACCGGACCTAGTGATACAGGCCTGTACCCAACCTCAGGAGGCCGAGGCAGGAAGATCAGAAACTTGAAGCCTGTCTGAGCTGCAAAGTTTCCGGCAGCCTAGGCTGTCTCAATCTATCCAATGAAAACGCCTACACGCCTCTTCTGAATTCCACTGTGTAACAGCCTCCTTGATTAGTACTCAGAGGCTTTGGGTGAGCTCTCGTCCCATCACTTACGAGCTGCGTGGAATCAGATGCTTTGTCTCCCTGGTTGTTGTCTCAACTGAAAATAAAACCAATACATTTGCCACAGAAACTGTGTCAAGGGACTCAGTACGGCGTGCAGGTTGGGACTCATGCTTTTCAATTAGACAGCCAGGCAGTTGACTAAAGGAGCTTTGCTTGGAAAAGCACAGAATTACTGACAAGGTGAAAGGGAGGTGTGGACCCAGCCTGTGGAAGGACCAGGTACCGTTACCCCATACCTGTACTTTGGAGGCACTGGCAGGTGAATCGTAAGTTCAAGGTTATCCTCAGTTACCTAGCAAGTTCCAGGCCAGCAAAGCATACATTCAAAAGTGTGAAAGTGTCTATTAATTGCATTTTGTTTTGTTTTAGTTGGTTTTGTTTTGTTGGTGGGTTGGTTGGTTGGGGTTTTTTGGTGTTGTTTTTGTTTGTTTTTATAACAGGATCTCACTACATAGCTGTGGCTGACCTGGAACTTTTTTTTTTTTTTAAGATTTCTTAATTTATGTATATAAGTGTTACCTCCCTGTATGTCTGCGTACCATGCCGCAAAGGAGGTCAAAAGTGGGCATAGATGCCCTGCGGCTGGAGAGATGGATTGTTTGTAAGCCACTGTCTGGGCACTGAGAACCAAAGGGGGTCTTCTGCATGGACCAGTGCTCTGCACCCCTGAGTCACCTCCTCAGCAGTTTCCTGGAACTTCAGGTGTGGTCCAGACTGGCGTCCAACCTGTGGTGATGCTCTTGTCTCTGCCTTCCAGGTACCGGGCATACCAGTGTAACCACCGCCCCAGGCAATTTCTGACTTCCCCACCCCACCACAAACAAATGACTGGAAGGACTCTCACACCCTTTTGAAAAGCTAACTCATCTAAACTGCCAGGCAGTTGGTTCCGTGGTAGATTTTTTTTTTTTTTTTTGTTGCCTGGTATATACAAGGCCCTATAGGTC